CCCCTCCCCCCTTTTTAGGCCGGGCCGGGGGGACTTTCGGAAGTAAATAATGGGGAAAGGGAACAAATAAACAAATAAATAAATAAAAATTTCAAAAAAAAAAAAGAAAAAAAAAAAAAAGAGGGGAAAATTAAAGCGGGGAGGAAAGAAAGGAGGGGGAAGGAGGGGGAGGAGGAGGAGGCACGTGATGCGTGGAGACGAGGCAAAAGTATAATTTTTATTTTAGACAAAATGAGGAATAAAAAAAAAACAAAAAACAAAAAACAAAACAAAAAAAAACAAAAACAAAAAAAACAAAAAAAAAAACAAAATTGTGTGAGGCGTCAAGTTGAAATGACTGCTGTGGATCTGCGATTGTATTTTTCCATAAGACACAAACAAACAAACAAACACCTTTTTTTTTTTTTTTTTATTTAAATTTATTTTCCTTCTTTTTCTTTCTCTCTCTCTCTCTGTGTGTGTGTGTGTGTGTGTCTGCAGAAGTCAACGACGCGACGGAAATCGTGTAGGGTGGAGGGGGAGGCAACTGCGAGTAAGTGAAAAAGAAATAAGAGGAGAAAGTTCTTGTGTGTATATTTATATATTTATATACATGCACGCATGCATACAAATATTTGGTGTCGTCTGCCTGTACGCCGGTGGGGAGAAGAGAAGAGAAGAGAAGAGAAGAGAAGAGAAGGGAAGGGAAGGGAGGGGAGGGGAGGAGGCTTTACAGGCAGAACAAATAAAACTGAATGGCTGCTGCTGGTGGTGGTGGGCCGCACGCATCATCATCGTTAGGCATTTGTTCCCCTTTCCCCTCGACCGTTGTTGTGTTCCTTTTTTTTTTTTTTTTTTAATGATAATAATAATAATGATGATAATAACTCTACCTTCCCCTTCAAATTGTCAAAGTTTTTTTTTGATTCATCATTTACTGTTATTACTGTTATTATTATTCGGCTTTCTTTGGGCAAAAACAAAAAACAAAAAACAAAAAAAAAATGTGTTTTTTTTTTCTTTCTTCTTTTTCTTTTCTTTTTTCCTCTGCTTTCTGGTGTGTGTCTCCTTGTGTGCGTCTTGTGATTTTTTTTTTTTTTTTTGTTTTTGTGTGTGTCTTTCTGTCCATGTGTGTGTCTTTTAAAAAACGAAAAACCGAAGAAACAAAACAGAAGAAAAGAGAAGGAAAAACAACAACAACAACACATGACGTTTCTTTTTTCTTTTTTTTTCTTCTTTTGTTTGTTTGACTCCTCACCGAAGGGACGCGCCTTTTGATCGCGGCACAAAAATTGTTTTTCCTGCAGCCGGAGGCGTCTGGGCGCGTAACGAAAAAAAAAAAAAAAAAAAGAAAAGAAGAAAAATGTGCCGCGGAAACAGCGAGTGGGAGAAATGGGGGCAAAGTCTTTTTTTCTTTTTTTTTTTAAACCGCGAGAAGCTTTTGCTGAATTGGCCGTGTGCTTCTCTGCGGCCATGATGTCAGTACGACTGCAGGCGCCGGCGGGAGGAGGAGGAGGATGGGGAGAGGTGCGTGGCGAATGCGGTGTGCGAGTTTTGTGGACCCCCTTTTGACGTGGCGCAGGCATTTTTTTGTTTGGGCCCTTTTCTCACCGTCATTTTGTGTCCCGCCGATCGCGCGTAAAGTGGGAGGGAGGGAGGGAGGGAGTGCAAGGAGGCATGTGTGTGTGTGTGTGTGTTTGTGAGGGGATTGCGGCGGCGGGAGAAAACACAAAAAACTGAAGGAGAGAAAGAGAGAGTGAGAGAGATGTATGCATGGATGAATGTTATAACACAGAGGGATAGGAATGCGACGCCTGAGCAAAATTTACGTGCACGCGTCTTTTTGTTGTGTGTGTGTATATATATATATATATATGTTGGTGGTGGCGGTGTTGGTGTTGGGGCAGTGCAATGGACGCAGAAATTCTGGCTTTGCTGTGAATTTTACACGACGCGTCCTTGTCAATAATAAATGTAACGTACACACGCACACATGTGCGGCGCTAGCGCTGGATATTTATATCTTTATCTATATCTTCTATAATATGCCCTTTTCTTCCCACGGCTACGACGGCCACAACGTGCGTTATCCATTCAAATACTTTTTATTGGTACCGGTACGTGTGCGTGCGTGTGTGCGTTTTTATTTTTGTCCCACACATTCGAAGTCGCCCCTAAAAATCATGTTTTTTTTTTTTTTTTTTGTTCTTCTTTTTTTTCTTAGGGGGGAAGGTATTATTTGTCAGTTTTTCTTCAGTGAAGTACACAAACGGACGAAAACCGAGAAGAAAAAAAAGAAAAAAAAGAAGATGCAAAAGAACGAAAAACGAAAAACGAAAAACGAAAGGGTGGAGGGGAGTGGAGGGGAGGGGAGGGGAGGGAAAGAGAAAAAAAAAAACACAAACAAAAACACGCAGGAAAAAGGGGGATTTAAACTTCATTTTTGGTCTTTTTGCTTTTTTAAATTTTTATTGGTGTTGTTTTTTGCTGGAATTGCATGTCATTGCAATGCCTGTGCATATCTCTCTCTCTCTCTTTGTGCATGTTTGTGCTTCTGTAATGGAACGACCATCACTTTCCCTCCTCTCCTCTCCTTTTCTTTTTTTTTTTTTTTTTTTTTTTTCGCGTTGCGTGTCTGTTGGTGACACGCCATCAGATGTTATAATTGGCACCGTTCATGAGGATTTAACAGGAGACGCACGGACCAGTCGGCTGCTTTTTTTTTTTTTTTTTTTTTTTGGCCAGCATGGCCACTTGTTTGTTCCATTCGTTTTTTTTTTTTTTCTTTTTTTTCAGTCTTTCTCTCTCTCTCTGTGTGTGTGTGTCCCTCTGAATGTATGGATGCGCTTGCAAATATTGCCGTGCACACATGGACTGACGTGTGCCACCGCATCTCTCTGTTCTCTGAGCGGGTGGGGGCGATGCGTGACGCCTGGTTTTCATGCCGTACTCTTTTTATTTTTTTATTTTTTAAATATATAAATATATACATATATATTTGTTTCTGTATGCACTCACGGGTAGGAGCAGGAATAAGGGACTTGCAGTTCAGCCTTTTTAGTTTTTTTTTTTTTTTTTTTTGCGGCGGCAACGACACACACACTCACAGACACATGACGGAGGTGACAAAACTGCCGCTGAAATGCGAGCGTCTCGAGGTTCTGGACGAATCAACGATGGCAGCCTGCGGCCGACACGTCGTGTACTTCTGCCCACTGCCGGGATCCGCGCTGTCATCCGCCTCCTCTTCGGTTGTGGAGGTTTCTTTGGCAAAAAGTACCGTGTGCCTTGCGCCGTGGCATCCTCCCGGGGCCGCGCTGCAGGAGTGCGGCGTCTTTTTCGCTGAAGTGGGCCACATTCACTTCCGTCGCTGCTGCTGCTGCTGCGGCAACGAAAGTGTGCAGGAGTCGCGGGACGTGTTGGAGCCCCCACCGCCAGCCTCCAGCGGAATTGAGGAGATGCGGGTGTTTTTTGGCACAACGCTGGTGGTGCGCACCGCCGAATCGGTTGCCTGCTACGCGCTTGACCCCACCCGTGGGGCTGAGGTGACACGACTGCCTTTGGTTGGCCGCGTAACGCTGCCCCACCCGGGCCTTACCGGGGACTCGACGGAGGTGCTCATGATGGACGGATCCCCTGCTGGCGCCGTTGCCGGCGATGTTGATCACACGCTCGGGGTTGTGATGTACTGCGGGACGACGCGGCGTGTGAGCGCTCTTCTTCTCGCGGTGGGGCCGGCATGCGTGACAATGCAAAGCGAGACACGAAGCGGCGGTCTGGCTTTGCCGTTTGAGTCGAATGCATCGTTGAGGTCGTGGTCGTTCAATTGGTCCAGGCGCGAAGTGTTGTTTGTGTTTGCTGACGCTACAAGCAGCAGCAGCAGCGGCGACACCACGAAGTTGTTGACGAGGAGTTTGTCCCTGGCCACAATGGAGTGGACGGTGTCCTCTACAGACTTGACGCAGCTGCCCTTCGTCCCTGCGGATGTGGGACACACGCACACGGGTGACACATGGGCGGTGGACAATTCCTTTGACGGGGTTGTGAAGTTCTCGAAGCTCCTCTCCGGATCTGTGATGCGAGAGGTGGTGCTGCAGCGTGCCGCAGGGAGTGATGCAATATTCTTGACTGCATGGGGGTCCAGTCTATATGTGCTGATGGGTAGGCGTGTCTTGGAAGTGCGGGAAGATGATGACAGGGACGGAGCGGCAACAAAGACGACATTGTGTGACTGGCTGATGCAGCAGGTTGCGAGGGAGCCACGTGACGTGCCGCACGTGCCAACGCCGAAGAGGAAGAGAAAAGAAGGCAATGATATAGAGAAAGAGGTTGATGCCATAGTCGCCTTTTTAAGGAACCCCGCGTGCAGTTCTTTCGCCATGATTGTTCGCGACTGCCGCTATGTTTCATGCACACTGGACGCTGCGGGGGAATATTCTCACGCCATTCTTGACGCGATTCAGAAAGCAAGTGGGAAAAACTGCGACAACAGCTCTCTTGTGCGGTACATTGCCGTTGCGCAGTCACTGCATCCCCTAACGATTCTACGTGTCTTGAGCGTCTCTGACCCGTCAATCCGTCTCACCCTCGCTGTGTTGCTTTCGACGAAGCCAACACTTGTGGCAGGTGGGGTGCGACTGTTGGAGTGGGGTCCGCCAGTGCGTGCCTTTTGCCGGAGCGTCGGACACATGCAGGCGAAGCTCTTCACGGCAGCAATGTGCGAGACGGCCCTCACAGCTCTCGCCGCCGGTGCGCTTGGCGCCGTTGGATTACTTTGCGCCGTTGCGGACGTTGTGATGGTCACGGTGCTGGGCAACGACAAACGTGCCGTTGTGTCCCGCGAGGAGGCGGCGGCGGAGGTGACCATCGTGGAGGCCGTTGGTGTCTTGTCTTCATACGCGCAGTGGGCACTGGCAGCGGCACCGGCACTTGGCACCATCACGGCACACGTGGGGCCCGTGCGCAAGGGAAAGAAGGAGGCCGCTGTACGTGACCGCGTCGCTCACAGCATCCTCCTCTCACGCAGCGTGCAGATTGAGCCGCTGTCGCTGCTGGAGCGGCGGCATGCAAGTTAACTTTTTGGCCGTCACGAGTACGAGGGTCAAGACGAGGCGCATGAACGAAGTGCAGTGAGAGAGAGAGAGAGAGGGCCCGAGAGGAATAAAGGAGGGGTGGGAGGGGTGGAGACAGATGAGGAGTAGAAAAAAAGAAAAAGTTATTTCTGAGGTGATCGAATAAAATAATAAGAATGCATTGTGTGTGGGAGGGGAGGGCGGGGGTGAGTCTCTTCCCCGGCAAGTTGTGTAACGCGGAAGAAAATAAACTGCTTATCTTTCCCGGTGTTGCTTCTGCGCATCTCCGCGAGGAGTACCACACATCGTGACGCAGCGTCACACACACACACACACACACACACTTTCATACATGTATAAATGCATATATGTGTGTATACATGTGTGGTTCGCAGACTTTTTTATTTATGGTCCATTATTTCTACCTCTTTTCTGCTGCTGCTGTTGCTTCTTTTGGTTTCCATGTGGCTGAGCCAATCTTGCGAAGGAAAGTAAAGAACTCGAGTGGGGAGCCGAGGGCTGCTTGTGTGTTTTTCTGTGCCTGCGCCTTGTAAGAGAGAAAAAGGAAGAAAAAATAAAACAGAAGGGAGAGAGGGGCGGTGGTAGGAACACGCACGGATGGCCCCCACGGAGAACACGGCGATTCAAGTGAATCCGCCGCAAGGGTTTTATGTCAATTTCGATGTTGACACGACGTACGTCATTCCCTTCACTGTGCGGAATGACGCACACTCCATGTGCACTGTGCGCTTTACGCCCCCCAGGAACCAGCACGTTTTTCGTATTAATACCGCCTCGGTGCGTCTGGCCCCAAGACTTTCATACGTGATTGAGGTGGAGTTCATCACGCACGTGGCGCAGGACTACCAGGACAGCTTTGTTGTATTCACCAACACGGAATCTATCACGGTGCCGCTTGTGGCGAAGTGTAGCCCGGATCTGGAGTTTCCCACGAAGTTAAACTTTGGACGGGTTGAGCGAGACTGTCGTGGTTTGTCGAAGGTGCTGCGCTTCACAAACAAGGGCCGGCGTGACAAGCACGTGCACATAAAAATTGGAAAACAAAATACAGGAGTAAAGGTGAGACCACTGAACTGCGTTGCTCCGCCAATGGGCTTTGTGGACGTCTGCGTTGAGCTCCTGAAGCTAGATTTCGGTCACCACCAGCTGCCGCTTCATATCGACGTGGATGGCGAGGCGAAGCAGCGGACACTGCTGTTGGAGGTGGATGTGATGGACAGCAAAGGCGTCCTTATTGACCCGTGCAGCGGTGAGGAGGTACACGCACTGGCGTTTGCCAAGACGTACTTGGGCACGAGAAGCGTGGTGGAGCTTGATGTGCGCAACGACAGCGAGCAGCCGGTGAGTTTCGCGTTTCAGGCCGCAGCGGACATCTCGGCTGAGCAGCAAAACCCGCAGCCGTTTGACTTTGTGCCGCGACAAGGCCGAATTGGTCCGCACGAGACGACACGTGTGACCGCTGTCTTTGCACCGCCCATGGCATATTCCCCGCAGGGTTGGTCGTGCCGCCGCGAGAATCCACGTGTCTTAAATAACGTGTACGAGTGTCTTTACTCGCTGCTTTTCCTGGAGATGGAACACACACACACGGTACGTGTGACTGGGACCAGCACAACGACTGCCGCGTGGTTGTCGCAGCCTGTTGTGGACTTTAGCCAGTGCGCCATGAACGATACCCGCGATGTGATTTTGACGGTGCACAATGGGCATAGTGAGATGCCGCTGCATTTTGCGTTTCCTCGCGTCGCCCATTTCTCCATTGACCCTGCCGACGGGAAAGTGAAACCCGGCTGTTCACGCGCCGTTCGATTGACTTTTTGTCCACGTCGTCTAGGTAAATTTGAGGAGCATTTGAAGGTTGTCTTCAATGAGACGGAAGAGCACAGCCTGACTTTTTTGGGCGTTGCGAAATCACTCGTTCCGCCGCGGAAGATTGTCGGTGGGGCCGACAAACTGCCGGAGGATTTTGTCTGCGCGCGAAAGAGCGTCACTTTGGTGAAGGAACCGCCATGTGCCATTGTAATTCCCGCGGCGGAGACGAAGTTGGATGCCGTTGACATTGGTATGACGCCAGCGGAGGGCCTGCAGCCACCCGAGCCGGAGATTCCCGCCGCCATCGGCAAGAAAAAGGACAGGGGAGAAGTTTCACTGCTGCGCGAGGCCGACCACTTCTCACCCGTCTTGCTGGACGCAAAGACGCTCATCCGAAAGGTGTTCAAGGAGACCCCGAGCAACGCGGTGGAGCGGCGGGATTACCGGCGTGAGTTGCAGCCGATGGAGCTCCTGCGCATCGCGGCACCCATCAAAGTGATTGACTACAAGCGGGTGACCGTCGGTTCCACCTCAACCAAAACGTTTTTCTTGTACAACGGGACCTCCGCCACGGTGCTGGCGGAGATGCCGACGGAGGAGACCCAATTGTCTTTTTCTCCACACTCGCAGGTCATTCCGGCTGGTCGCGCGGCCGCATACGACGTGAGTTTCCACAGCTCGGTGGTCCAAACATACCAGCAGGTTGTACAGATCAAAATAAATGGGCGTTATATGCTGCGATTTACACTGCAGGCGGATGTTGTGCCAGTCGAGGTGACCTTGTCGCGTGACGATGTCGTGATTAACTTTGCGGAATTTGGGGATGATCTCAAAGCGTACGCCACCGTGACGCTATTCAATCACGGGAACAGCGAGGCATTCTACGCCTGGTCGCTGAACAATGGCCCTTTCACTATTGAACCGATGAATGGCTCTATTGCTCCACTGAGCAAGGTGACGGCACAATTGACGTTTAGTCCACCTCAGAGTGTTCTTAGCGCGGAGACAAGGGCAGAATTGCATGTGAAGGGAGCATTGGATGCGAGAGTGCTTCGTCTGAGGGGTATCATTGCCCCTACGTCATGCGGGTGGTCGGATATTTTGGGCGGCGGCAGTGCCGCTAGTCGTGCGAGTGTAACGGCAGGCGGTGAACATGTAATTAAATTGCTACAGGTACCTGCCGGTTTGACGACACGAGCGACTGTCTTGCTGCAGAACAAAGGGCGCAATAGCGCCTACTTCTCCTTTGAATTTGTACCGGAGTGGGTTACGGTCACGCCAATGTGTAGCCGTGTTGGGGTGGGCGAGGCGGAGGAGATCACACTTGCCGTGCTGCATGATACACCGGGTTTGCTGCAGGCTGTTTTGCTTTGTTTTGTGCGTGGCATGAGAAGACCGCTGAAGCTAAACCTCACCGCAGAGATATGTGTGGCACCGTTGTGTATTTTGTCACCTCCACGGACCAACGGAGAAGTTCTTTTGGAGTTTGACTCAGTTTACATTGGAACGGAGAAGGCGCTACCGGTACGCTTTCAAAACAGTGGTGACGTGGCGGCTGTCGTGTTTGTGGACCTCCGCTATCTTTCAGAATACTCGCTGCGCTGCCCGGAGGGCGGGGCGGCCTCGCTGGCGTGGCGGGGTCGCGGTGAATCCGTTCCAGGGGAGACGTACGTCACCATCCCGCCTCACAGCGAAGCGAACGTGCTGTTTGTTTACCGTCCCATCGGCGTAAGCAACGATGAGCGCTTCCTCGTTGCGTGGCGACAGATTGGGGCGAATGAGATGAATCCACTGGCGCCACTTGCGATTTCTGCACGGGCGATGGTGTCAAAGATAGCCGTGGGGCGACAAGTCCTCGAATTCCCGCGCACAGTTATCGGGAGCACCGCTGTGCCAATGTCCGTCGCGATTGAGAACTTCTCTGGTGATTCGGTGCGGTGGGAACTCATTTTGACTCGTGGCGATGGCAGTAAGAAAGAAAGAAGCAGCGATAAGAGCGCTGCGTGCGAAGTATCCCCCTTCCACGTGAACCCAGAGAGTGGCACGTTGGCACCCCACACAAGTGAACTTCTGCACGTCGCATTTGCGCCGACCACGGAGGGCAATTGGCAGGAAAGCTACTCTGTGTATATTGACGGGAACCACCTGCGTCCTTGTGCGGAGGTGCGGGTCTCTGGGTTTGCTGCCAATCCACGGATTTTGTGCGACAAGGACGAACTTGTTTTTCCTGCCGTTCCTCTCAATGTTGTGGTGCGAGAGGCGATGTATATTAAAAATGACAGTTTTGACACCATTGATGTACGATACTCCAGCAAGGGGCAGGGCCCACTCACCGTCACCTTCCCACACGGTGCCACCTTTAACTCTTCCTCACGTATTCCTGTCGTTGTGGAGTTCTGCTCCCCGAAGCCTGTCACACTCTCGACATCCATTACATTTACATCAGACAAGTGTGAAACACTCACGATTCCTGTAACCGCCACAGCCGTCAACTCATTTCTTACGACCGCTCCATACGTTATGTTTCAGCGCGGCTTCTCACATATTAGGGTCCCTGAGGATGCCGTCGTGGCTGTAGGGCACAGTGAAGAGGAAGAAAGTTCGGAGGAAAAGGAGGAGCGGATTATGCCACTCATCTACCACGATGACGTCCCTGCGTTTCCCTCTAGCGCTGCTGCTACCGGCTCCGGTGACAGTGCTACGAATGATCGTAAGCATCATTCAGTGGGTCCTGAGCGTCGCCTGACGCTCACATCTTCTCCGTTTGGCTACGTGGATGCCGTTGGACAAATTATGTATTCAAAACACGCGATTGAAAACCTGCGGGTGTGGCTAAATCATAGCGTTTTCCAAAAGCCTGTGGATGATCTCATCTATGCACTGCAGTCGAGTGACGGACGCCAACTTGTTGAGGCGGCGTGCCGACTTTCTGGTAAGAAACCCAATAAATTGGCTCGACCCACTGGGAGCGAAAGGTCGTTGAATTCTCTCCAGTTATTGGTGTCAATGATAAAGTCGAAGGGCGGATGTTTGAGTGAAGTCCGCCTACCGTATTTGTTGAATTACGGCGCGTACCGCCGTCACTGCGAGAGCTCCGGTGCGGATGTTCTTTCAGAAATCGCCTTTGCCACGCGTGCGGATCACGCGTGGGTGACAGTAATCCTGCAGTT